ATATATATATATATAAAGGTTGATTTCTTGAAAATGATGATTGGATATTTCGTCATTTGACGACTCACCACACAAAAACTCACCAAATCCTCCGATGTACCGTAATAACTATATACTTCCGATGTACCCAGATGCCCTGAAACGGGTTGGGTTTTCTATCACCAAATCTTCTTAAAATTACACTAAATGAGATTTGTATATTTTTTTTTTTTTTGTATTTTTTTTTTGTTTGATTTGGAGTTTTGTCCGTTATGATGGAGTTGAAAAAAAAAGAAAAAGAATTAGCACATGATAAATGGTAAAGCATTAGAAGGGTACAATTCTATTTTAAATGCATTTGCCTCCCTAAAATTAAGCGTAATTAATTGATTTTCTTAATCTTCGTGAAATCAACTAAAACGACTAATAATATGAGATAAGAAGGAATAATAATTTCGAACTTGATTTAAGTTCAAATTTTAGCTTGACTCTTACTTTTATTTGAGTCAAATCAAGTTCAACTTGATTTTGAATCAAATGATTTAACTCAGTTATTATCTTTGTCATAACTCATAACTCTTGATAATAAACAAAAAAAAAAAAAAAAACACCCAATTGGTTATATTTAATAATTGGATTTTTAACATGTGCTTTAGTAGTGTAATTAATGCACTCTTTTTGACATTAAATTGTACTCTCTTTGTCTTGGAAAACGGAGATTAAGGTGGCCTGCAAGTACCCAGTGGACGCGGAACACAAAATGGAGAAGGATGAAAGCAAGCAAACGACAGAAAAAGGAGGAGGAAGGCACGTTACGTTGAGTGTTTCGTGGCTCACAACATGATTATGTGTCAACCTATAACTGGTTTGGAACATATCCTACGTGGTGTTCCTGTTACATAGTAGACTTTCTTGTTGGTCCTGTTAATTTCGGCAAAAATCTACTTTTAGCTCTTTATTTTATCAAATTTGAAAATTTTAACCCATCATCTTATATTATGACACTTTTAACCCCTCACCTTACCAGATTTATAGGTTTTAGCCCCTTAACACTTTTAACTCCTCACTTTACTAAATTCATAAGTTTTAACCCCTTACCTTATATTATAACATTTTTAGTCCCCCATCTATTAAAATTGAAAAAAATAACCCTCACTTTATAACATTTTGTTAGTTTTGTTAACTGACTGTTAGTTGACTGTCAATTGACAAAAACTTTCTTTCAGCTAACAGAATTAACAGAATTAACTTTATAATATTTCGTTAATTCTGTTAACTAGTTATTAATTGATTGTTAGTTGATAAAAATTTACTTTCAGTTAATAGAGTTAACAATAAGTATAAAATGAGGGCTATTTTCTTTGATTTTAGTAGGTGAGGGGTTAAAACCTACAAATCTAGTAAGGTGAGGAGTTAAAAGTGTTATAATATAAGGTAAGGGGTTAAAACCTTCAAATTTAGTAAGGTGAGAGACTAAAAGTAAGTTTTTGCCATTAATTTCTCTAGGACTTCTAATTTTATCGTTGACTGCATAACAAACATGGAGAAACATTGTTGAAATTAGTATAAAAATTAAACCAAGCTTTCTTTTACTAAGAACCATAACAAACAGGATGAAACTTTTTGAACCAAAATTTGAGGCCACATTTAAAATATTAAATGATAAATTTTTTTTAAAAAAAGGGTGTTTTACATGTTATTTTTTTGAATAATGATACATTCACACTCTCACGTTACACATTTTATTATACCCTTAACAATCTTGTTATGCTAACTAATGGTCTCTATTACCCAGCCTTATTTTCTCTCTCTCCTTTCCTTTCTCTCTCTCCTTTCCTTTCTCTCTCTCTTTTCCTTTCTCCTCTAGCTCATTTCCTCTCCTTCGAAATTCCTAGTAGGTGGCTATGGCTTGGAACCCAAGATCAAAATTGCGTTGACCTCCATTTTCTACGATTATCCTTCCTCGACCTCCATTTTCTCCAAAATGACACTGACCTCCACTTTCTCCGATTGCCCTTCCGCAATCTCCATTTTCTCAAAACTACCACACCAAGATGACTTACCAAAATGGAGTGTGGAGAAAATGGAGGTGGCAATTGTACTCTTAACTTGTATTCTTAAACAAACCTTTTTATTAATTGGCCCTTCAAGGCTTCAAGATTTTCTTTCTAATTAATTGTCCCAAAAAATTTATGCCTTCTCAAATTTTGGTTAAGTTCCATCCCTATTTCCATATAAAGAAAAGGTTAAGTACCCTTTTTGGTCCCTCTACTATTGAAAAAAGATTTTTTTTGGTCCCTATATTGAAAAAATCTCCTTTTTGATCCCCATAGTTTGAAATTCGATCCATTTTTGCTCCCTCCGTTAAATTTTGACTAATGTGGCATGTTAATTAACAGAATTATGTAATTTATTTTTTATATAAATGACGTGGAAGATCCATGGTGTAAAATAATGATGATGTGGCATCTCGTGTATTAATATTAAATATGATATGTAATTTTAATAAGTATATATTTTAATTATAAAAGTTAAAATTACAAATTTACCCTTAAACTTCATCTTCAACCTCCCATCTTCTCTTTCCTCCATCTAAACCAAAGTCAGCAGAGTCTTCTCTCTCTCCTTTTTTTTCTCTCTCCTCTTTTTTTCTCTCCTCTCATTTGACTTGAGTCTTTTTCTTGATAAATTGGCAATGACTTCCCAATAAAGTATTTCACCATGAACATCTCACCCTTCTTCCCCCTTCTATCTTTTCCTCTAAAGCCTTCGTGTTGGATTTGTTGTGAACCTAAGCACTATGTTCATCGCGCCTAGCTCCAAGCATCCATTTCCTCTGGCTAGCATCAATAGGTTGAAAAAATTGAAATTCAAAAACTAACTCAAAATTCAAAGACTGACATTGATTTCATCAATTAAAAGCAAAAAAATCTCACAAAGAACATGCACAGAAAACAGATAACATAAAGGTTGAGATCCAATTCTTTGAATGATCAAATCAATGGCTGAAATTCAAAAACTAAATTGAAATCCTTCATACTTAGAATCATTACATGCAAGCTCAAAAGTAAAGTAATATAGAAAGCGAAATGCACAACAAAAGAGATCTGAATCTCTAGCTACAATACTCGAAATTGTTACTAGGAACGATCTAATCATCAAACGAACTTCAAATGTTAAAAGTTAAATCCACATCATTCATGTTTGGAGGCAGTGAAAATGAAAATGGAATATGAAATACAATGGAAAGGCATGATTCTGTATATATAGAGATGAAGAAGAAAAAGAAGAAGAAGAAGAAGAGGGAGTCAGATCTAAAGATCTAGAAAGAAGAACCTAGCACCTAGGTTCTTGAAGAACCCAGGCCAAGCGTTGGGTTCACGATGAACCCAGCAAAAGTGAATAAAAAAAAAAAGACAGAAGAAGGAAAGGATAAAGACACAATGGGGAAGAAGATGGGGGCAATTAAGTAATTAAAGTCAATTACTTTTAATTACAAAATAATCTTTAAAATATTTATAATGATAATTATGTAATTAAATGATTTTTAAGATTATATTAGATAAAAAATTTTGACCATGTCATCAAATGGATTTTGTCACGTAATTTAAGAAAAGAAAAAAACTTTTCGTTAATTAACATGTTATATAAGTTTAATTACAAAATAATCTTTAAAATATTTATAATGATAATTATGTAATTAAATGATTTTTAAGATTATATTAGACAAAAAAATTTGACCATGTCATCAGATGGATTTTGTCA